ATATATATATATATGTGTGTGTGTGTGTGTGTGTGTGTGTGTGTGTGTGTGTGTAAGCCTTAACCTGTGATAATACAACAGCTATTATTGTTCAATAATGGGTGAATTTTTCTTGAGAGAGACATGAACCATGCATGTGTATTCAGAGGGCCAAAACAGACCTTTCCCCAAATTTACTAATACAGTAATGAAGAGGCTAGGGAAGAAGCAGTCAATGTGACTTTTGCGGTGAAACTAAACGTACAGCTATAACAGCCACTTCCACCACTATTTTCCCATTCATATGAATCATGAAGGAACAAAGTATTTAGTCCCCTGAAAATCAAAGTTTGCCTTGCCATATTTAACTCTCATTTCACCCTGAATCTCAACCAGCCTCATGTCACCGAAGGCAAAACAGCCATAATTCAAACTTGCTCCAGTGTTTTATGTACTTTGATTGATATTAAACGATGTTATAAAACTAGCTGTCTTGTTACAATTTGGGTAGTTTCCATGGGTTTTTGAGGTCATTGTTGATTCATGAGTCTAAGTTGCAGCTGTGGCCCAGAGGTAAAAGAGCACAGGGTAATTCACTCATACAGCCAGTTAGGCACCTCTCTATTTGTATGAACTTGAACATGATTTGCCAGGAGAGCAACAGCATGGACTGCATTAGGCACTGCATGCTTCAAAAGAAAGGCAGCTACTGGAAAGCTGAACAATGCAAATCTGTTGAGAGAGCGCGCCTACAAAAAGATGCAGTTTGTAGTAAAAAGAAGAAATCCATTTCACATAACCTTGCAGGGGATTAGATTTCAAAAGGACCCAAGATAACTTTTTTGGAAGATTTCTCTATCGGGTGTATCCATTGATCAACCTTTGTGAAACTCGAAGTACTGTAAAATATTTATGCTCTAGAACTGAATAGAGACTGCATGCTCTCAAAATATTTAAATGAACCACACAGTCTCATTTTTAACCTATCAAAAATCTCTATATTAATAATTCAAATCTCTGCTCCACAGATTAATACAGTTCAAGTTCACTACCAACTTGTCTTTAAAAACTGACAAAAAGATACACCTAGTAGGAAGGCAGTACACAAATGACAATGATTTTTAGATTAAAGCATGTAAATATCTATGCACAGAAATCCATGGACATTTTTACTGCAACATCTACTTTACAACTCAGTCTTTTGCTTTATTTCACAGGACTTATGCATTTTTTTTCTTTCTTGTAAGTACTAATTGCTTCAGTGTATAAATATCACTGATACAAAATATACTTTAGGGTAACATGCACAGCTCATGCTAAGATAGAGGAAAAACAATATTAAGGATTTGAAGGAAAAGGCATATTTTGCAAGCTCTTTGCTAGTGAGTAAATGTAAATCGCCAGAGTACTACTGAACAATGCAACTGAGGACAATCCTCAATCAGGGCGTTTATATTCAGAACCTGGGTGTCAGAAACATGAAGTACATTCACAATGCTACTTTCAGAAACCTATTTGTATTCATAAGAGGACTTGAAACCCAATTTGTCTAAAGAATTGATGAAAGACCATCTGGTCTCCACCATGACTGTGCACTCAATGTGTAATCCTTTTTAACAGAGCGGGTAGCAAGCAAGCTGCTGTTATAGAGCTTGACAAACTAGCATCAATTTTTCAGACTTGAGCCACTGATACAACTTCCATTATGCCCTGATAAAATGAAGGAGGTTAATGAATACGTCTATCAAAGGCAGGTATGCAAAATGAGCTGACAGAGGGCACAATGAACAGTTAAGATGACAACCACTGTGTATATGAAAAGTGCAGTCAGAAAGCACCTCTTTTCTGATCACAAAAGGCAACTTTCTAAGCAAATTCCGTAGCTTGCCAACTTTTAAGAGGTCTCCAGTACTCTTC